TGACGCTTGCAATCGATACCGCCGATCGAAAACAACAAAATCGTGTGAAACAGCAAAATCGTGTGAAATCCAGTGACAAAATCGATACCGCCGATTGAAGGGGAAGAAGGGTGACGCTTGCAATCGATACCACCGATTGAAGGGGAACGATTCGTGAAGTATACGGTGGAAGTGAAGAAGGGTTTTGAGAGGGTAGATAGGTAAAATATTTCTTGTTCCACTTAGTTCCAGAGGGGTAAGGGTGGACAGGCTTGTCCCACCCGTGTTCTAGCTAGTTCTAGTGAGTCCAACATAAGGCCACACCAAACATAGGACAATTGTGTTTTGTCCTGTCCTGTCCCACTCTGTCCAACGTACCAAACACACCCTTAAGGTCGAAACTGTAACTTATAGCAAAAACAACTTAAGATATCTTTGGTCCCTGTTTTAAGATACAGGTGCAAGGACATAATAAAAAAATCAGCTACTTTCTGATACTTAGACATTCTTGTTTCAATTATGATATGCATGTTATAAAAATTCATGAACTCACAAATCCCGTGGCTAACTGTTTTTAGTTATGAAATTAATCATATATTTCGATTTCAAATATTGCAGTACTTTTGATCCAAGATTTTCCAAAACTAGAATTGAATACAATGGTACGATAATCATCCTACACCAAATTACTATTTGTATGAATGACACCGATTTAAAAACTGTGTTTTTCTTCGATGTTTTTATAGTACAGTGTCACATATTAAACCTAAATTTGAATTTGATATGATATGATAAAAACCCAAAAACAGAATCATCGATCACAATGTTGATTTCTTTAAATGAAAGAATAATAAATATTGTATACTCTTACGTCTAATCCAGCTATATATTACAATGATAATTTGGTCATGTTTTCTATTTTTGTATTAATGTCAACTAAAAATCGGATTTTGAATGTTATTCCTGATAAAGTTTAAACTTTCTTTTTTTATGATGGCATTTAGTTTGTGTACGTGTTTGTTTGAGAGCGACAATAGAAAATAACATTTATTATGAGATAGATTTTTTCTGTATATGAAAAAAAGGTAATTTGAATGGACAATGTTTGTAACAAAAATGGTTATTAACGCACGGTAGTTAATAAATATAACACAAAGAATAAAATAATATTTAAAAAAGGAAAATCAAGAAAGAAATCATAATATCTTATTACATATTTATAAACCAGTGATTTGTAGGATTTGTGAGGCCGTAATCTTTAATTGACTTTATTTTCGGGGTTTGTTGGTAAAAACTGTGATTATATGACGGTTTCAATATACGATTGCAGTGCATGTATTTTTGCACTAAATATACACGTTCTTTGTGTATTTGTAGTGGTTACTTATTAAGACGAAGGATTGTGTGCGAATATGAGTTAAGATGAGAAGCGTAAGAAAGGATCTTGATTATTGATCATTTTTAATCTCACTCTCACCCTGTGAATTGCGCTTGATATGGGAACTGATCTTCAATTAAAATTGATCTAATGGTGTATGTTCATTCTTACATTTCTCATAATAACTTGTATTCACACCGAAACTCAACCCTACTTATTAATATTTAAACAAAATGCATATACTGGAGGTTGATTCTTTTTTTATTAAAAACTGTATGCAATAAGACTGTTGGATGTGAATAACAAATACATGATGCCTTCTCATATTCAGTCAATGTTTAATAACTGAACAAACAACAAACACCGTTCAATTACTTAACGAATAAAAGTTGAATTATTTGCGAGGATATGTCTTACATGGTCTAATCTTGTAAATTTAGGGGCTCATTGTGATAATTTTAAAAGTTGTGGTTCGTTGTAGAACTTCGCTAATGATGAGGGGTTGAATGTGATAAACTCGAAAGTATTTATCCGCGCCTTTCGGCTTTCCACTGTCGTTATTTTGCTTTTGTTTTTTTGACTTTTCTCGAGTCATAAATTACATGTAGAACCCTACATTATAGAAGTTTTACAACTTACCCCCTTATACTTTTTATTACTCGAAAGATGTTACATTGATTTTCTTCTTGTGAAAAAAAGCGTTAAACAAGAACATATTCAAAATAAAAGAACAATAAAACGGTCAAATAACATATGAATCATATGTGATTTTATATGTAATTACGGAAGGGTGAACTGCAAAAAAATGAAACATTAAAATCAATTTTCACGATTAATGAAATATTTAAAATCTAGGGACTAAACGTGCATAATACAATTCTACGAGGACGATATGTTGTAATATACTCTGTTTTTACATGATCCAACGGAGGAAAGATGAGGATTTATGCATGCTATTATGTGCCGAGATGCAGAGAATCATTTCTCCAGTTAACTCCAAATGATATAAATGCCCTTCATTCTATGTTCTAACCATAAATATTCCTCCCCTCCTTTTTCTTTTTCTTTTTCTTTTTTTGCTTTATTTTTTTTCTTTTTCAGCAACTTTTATAAATATAACTTCAAATATATATTAAAATAAATTAAAATATGATAAAAATTAAAACTAAACGTTTTGACTACAAACCCGATCCGATATGGCGACTCACCGAGGAAGAAAACCGAACCACGGTCCACATAAACGTAACATGTTCGCATTCGAAAAATACTTCTAAAAAAGATGATATTATAGTTTGCACGTTTAGCCGTTGACTTAAGTTGTGAAGAATGGATACACAAGTTGTAATACTACATTGAACGTGAGCAATCATTACAACTGGAAATTGGATCAATAATGATGA